AAACCAGGTTTTGTCTATGAAACCTTGTCGAATGCCCAGTAACTAATAGTCCGGATGCTGTCATTTTTCTTTATCTTGTAGACTTGTACATGCCAAGTAATATTTTTACTTGATACTGAATGGCTTCTATTGTTACTGCTAGCATGTTCGAATAACCCAACTTTCTAAAACTTTAGGTTCTTTCTTCGCAACTTGTACTAATATGGACAATTGACATCTATTTTACTCTCTCCTTTTGCAGCCTGATTCAGAAACACAGTTGCTTACCATTCAGTTTGAATGGAATGGTGTTCTGAAGTCGGTTTCAAGCACGCTAATTGGGGTGAGTCCCGAGTTTGAAATTGCTATTTATACTCTATGCTTCTACCTTGGGGGAGAAGATAACCATGTTCAACTTGGTCCTTACCCTGTGAACATTAAGTGCTATCGTCTCGGGAACAAAATTGGGTCGGCTTTTCCAGTGGCAGAATCTTAATTATATGGGTGAGCCAAGAATGTTGCATCACCTGGTGTGTGTATTATGAAATGTTTTATTGATGCTGCATGCAGCAGGTTTGTTGACTTCACTGTGTACTATGACATGCTTTTCTGAAATTTGCTGATGACTGTATTATTGAGTGTCTGGATAATTAGAACAAGGCAAAACATTGTTTCGAACTTGTACGGTACGTGTTTCTAAACTTTGCAGCTTCGACTATTTTTCTTGACTAGTAAAGTGCACGTGCGATGCACGTGGTGTCGGATGATTTTCGCAGAGTAAGTTTGTAAAATAAATTAATTTATTTATTGAACATATCATTGCATAAATGAGTAAAATATAGAAAAAATGGACTCATATTTGATTTTTTTTTATTTAGAATTAACATAATGATGTCCTCATATAAAAATAGTGAAATAACGTTTTACAAACCACAACAAAAATATATATAAAAAAACAAATTCCTAATAAAAAAAAACGCAAAGATTTTCTTTCATTTTAGTTTTAACGTTCTCATAAGAACATTCATAGTCGTTGGAGTCCAATACATCAATACTATTGCAAAATTCCTCTTAATTAATTTGGCAAAACGTCAATTTTATTCCAACACTTAAAAAATATTCTGACCCAACATATAGTCAAACTTTATGATCGTATGATCTTTATAACAAGATACTTCTACTAACAAAGGAAAAATATCTCTATGAAATAACTAACGGTGTCACTAAAATTGTTGATATTTTTTATCACTGTATAAACTACTACATTCCTCTATCTCTAGATATATTGGTGTCTGGTGTCTACCCCATTGTTGCATCGCCCCACGAGGTGGGAATGAATTTTATCTCCAAATAAAAGTTGACTTTCTAAAATCTTGGTTACATGTACTTCTCCCGAGGTGCTAAATTATTTTTTGAAATCATATACATTACCTGAAAGTACCTCTAAAGTAATTGCACATATGTTCAAGCACAATACACCAATAAGATTATAAATATTTCTATAAAAAGTGACAACTTAATTCTAACATTCAAAACTGGTTTGATACTCCTACATTTCATTTTTAGTGTTATTTATCTAGAATATAGACGAACAATATAACCTATTTTTTGCAATGATAAAACAAAACAATGAGAAAATATTGAGAAGCATATCATTTGTTAAAATATTTGACAACAGAAGAATTAGAATTCCATTATATGACGATACTTTTAGTCATTTGTAAAGTTTATTATTATGGAGTCATGATTAAAATATACATCATGTATACAAATTTTTAGATTTTTTAATTATTTAAAATTGAAAATAAATAATATATCATCATTATTTATGAGAACCAATTTCTTACAGAGTCCATATATTTAAACGATAGCAACAAAAATGTAGTAATTTTAAAAGACTTTTTGTTTGTAAATATTGGTATTCATACTTTTCTAAGAAAATTAACATGTTTTCTTTTTCTCATTGCATTAGTATTATATTATTTGTTTCTTATTCTATAAGACAAATAATATTTTATTTGCTAAGTAACTAAAACACAGTTATACGTATTATGTTATTTTTTATATGTGTTTTATATAATGATGGTATCAAATTATCTTATTTATTAGGCTACAATTAATATAATCACATAAAATTAAATGTAATTTAATATATTTGATAAAATTATACTTTTTATACGAATTATTAGATTAAAAAATTTTAGATTTTTTTCCAATGTTTGGTAAAATATTAATTAACTAAGTCATTTTCATAATCACTGAATACATATATGGTACCACCATTATAGGGTTCATTTTGCAGCAGTAATTGACTTCACATAGTTAATGTTATTTCATTTTCTTTCTCTGGCCTAGCCTTTTCTTTTATCTATGATTTCACATTGCTTCGATTCGTTTGTACCCTAAGGTGCATTTGTCATGGGCGCTCTAGCCAAAACGTGGGAACAGTTAGAAGTTTACACCCATTTTTTTACTTTTTTTATTTAATATGAATTGTTTCAAATTTATGTATGGAAAACATACCACAAGTTTATCTTATGTTATTTTATACTTAATAAAATTGATTTAACTATATTTGTATATCCTATATTATATTATATTTAATTACAATTTTTTAATTAAATATTTACAATTCATAAATTCATTAATAACATTGTCGAGTCAACTTTTATTTATAAAATTTTTAAAAATATATTATTTTCATTGATTGCTTATGTTGAATTGAGAAAAGTTATGTTTATTAATTATATATAGGGAGGATATAAGATTTCTTATATTTTTTATGTAGTATTTATTGAGTAATTGTATTTACAATTTTTCTATTAAAAATAAATTAAACACATGAACTTTTTATTTCCTATATTTTTTTTTTTTTCAGAAATCACTCATTATTTTATCGCAAGATTACCTATTAATTTACCAATTGAGTTACATTTCTTACATATTAAATATTATATAATTAAAATATTTCTTGTTTTATCTGTTCAATATGATACTTATATATTATATTAAAAAACTATATAGTAAATAAAAAAGTTATTTAAAATTAGAATAATAAAGATTTTTTTTCTAATCTACACGTATAAATGTACAAATAACTATTGTCTATCACCTCAAATTTACACATAAAATTAATAAGAACAAAAAACTAACAAGCGTTTAACAAGTCAGTTCGATTACATCGATAAGTATATTTTTAGAAGGTTTATATTTAGTTATATTAATTATATTATTTTTGTTTATTAGTTTGTTTTATATTTATTAGTACGTGTCACAACTTAGTTATTATTCATATTATTTCTTATATTTAATATTTTTTTTAAACATTTATCTTGTTCTTTCACATGTTCTTAACTGTAGATTTGTCAAAAAAGACATAATATAAAGTATATAATTTTTTCGATCATCTGCCTCATTATATATCAAATATTTGTATATCCTATATTATATTATATTTAATTACAATTTTTAATTAATATTTTAATTAAATATATACAATTCATAAATTCATTAATAATATTATCGAGTCAACTTTTGTTCATAAAATTTTTAAAGATATATTATTTTCATTGATTTGCTTATGTTGAATTGAGAAAAGTTATGTTTTTTAATTACATATAGGGAAGATATAAAATTTCTTATATTTTTTATGTAGTATTTATTGCGTGATTGTGTTTACAATTTTTCTATTAAAAATATATTAAACACATGAACTTTTTAGTTCCTATATTTTTTTTTCATAAATCACTCATTATTTTATCCCAAGATTACCTATTAATTTACCAATTGAGTTACAATTCTTACATATTAAATATATATAATTAAAATATTTCTTGTTTTATATGTTCAATATGATGCTTATATATTGTATTAAAAAAACGAATATAGTAAATAAAAAAGTTATTTAAAATTAGAATAATAAAGATTTTTTTTTTCTAATCTACATGTATAAATGTACAAATAACTATTGTCTATCACCTCAAATTTAAACATAAAATTAATAAGAAAAAAAACTAACAAGCGTTTAACAACTCAATTCGATTACATCGATAAGTATATTTTTAGAAGGTTTATATTTAGATATATTAATTATATTATTTTTGTTTATTAGTTTGTTTTATATTTATTAGTACGTGTCACAACTTAGTTATTATTCATATTATTTCTTATATTTAATATTTTTTTTAAAACTTTATCTTGCTCTTTCACATGTCATTAACTGTAGATTTGTCAAAAAAGACATAATATAAAGTATAGAATTTTTTTCGATCATCTGCCTCATTATATATCAAATATTTGTATATTCTATATTATATTAGATATAATTACAATTTTTTAATTAATATTTTAATTATATATTTACAATTGATAAATTCATTAATAATATTGTCGAGTCAACTTTTGTTCATAAAATTTTTAAAAATATATTATTTTCATTGATTTGCTTATGTTGAATTGAGAAAAGTTATGTTTTTTTTAAGGAGTTTTTTCACTAAAAGACCTGAAAGATAGGAAAACTATCAATTCGGGGCCTGAAAGATTTTTTTGTCAATTCGGGACCTGAATGTTATAAAACTATCAAATTAAGTCCTACAATTAACAACACTCATAAAACCACTAATTTGAAAGTTAATTTAAATTTTAAAACACTAAATTTGAAGAAAAATAAAAGATTGTTGCTTACTGACATAAAATAATAAGTAAACATTTGCATAATATTAAAAAAAAACATATTTGGTGTTTTAAAACTTAAAATTAACTCTCAATTTAATGGTTTTATGAGTGTTGTTAATTGTAGGACTTAATTTGATAGTTTTATAACATTTAGGTCCCGAATTGAGAAAAAAATCTTTCAGGCCTCGAATTGATAGTTTACCTATCTTCCGGGCCTTGTATTGAAAAAAACTCTTTTTTTTTTTTAATTTCATATAGGGAGAATATAAGATCTGATGACATTAGTATATTACCAATTTGCAGTAGTGCTATGGAGCCAATGGTTGGCTCCCTTATGGAGCCAACCACCAATCAAACATCTCCACATGGGGATGTCCCACATTAAATTAATGTGGGACATCCCCATGTGGAGATGTTTGATTGGTGGTTGGCTCCATAAGGGAGCCAACCATTGGCTCCATAGCATTATTGTACCAATTTGTCATTAAAAACATGTGAAAGTAAGAGTTTTTTAGGTAGTTTATTTTTTAATAAAAAATATAAATAAAATATGATGTGTATTAGTGTATTACTAATTTGTCATTAAATTTTTGTCAAAGTAAGGGTCGTTTAGTCATTATAAATTTTTACAAAAACACTCCTCCTTTTAAAGTAGTAAAGATAAAATGCTTAGCTTCATGAATATTAAAAATTTGTGACCTCTCATACATCTTGACTATACAATCATCTGCAAAAAAACACTCACGTATATAGTCAAAATGTACAAGAGGTTGTAAATCGTGAATGTTCATCAAGCTCAAGTTTTGTTTCATATCAATGACATAGCTGAAAATAACATATCAATGAAATCTGAAAATATCTGACTCAATATCTCAAAAGTATTTCCGATGCGTAGCTGCTGTAATTGCAATTTCGGATTCTTATGATTCTTTGCTCTGTTAGTAGATTTATTGGAAATATGCTCTCGACTTGGTCAAATATCAACTGACAGATATATTATCATATAAAAGTTGAAGAAAACGGAGCCTTTTTTTTTCTTTTTTTTTTTAATCACAATATTTGAACTTAGAAATATGACTTATATTACTGTTGTTTACATTAGAGTTTGCATGCAATTCATGCGTAGAAATGATTTGTTTCATCAATAATATCGGTATTTCAATTTGTAATCAACTAATACTGTTACATGATAATATGTAAAAATAAATAAATAAAATGATGTCAAGGAACAAAACATAATTTGTACGAAAATAAACTTAAATTTGCTCAAAGAGCAAAGCATAAGTTGTACAAATAAGAATTATGGGCTGAATATAGACATGGCCAAAACCTGGGGCGGGTCATGGTCCGGCCCGGCCTGCCGGGCCACCAGGTTGGGTATCATGGACCCTGAACCGGCAAGGACCTAGAGTTGTGTCGGGCCGGGCCGGACCCGACCCGGGTCTAGGCCCGCCTAGATTAAAAAATAAAAACAAAAAGAATATTTTTAAAACAATGTGCTTTTCTCGTGCTGGGCCGGGCGGGCCACATGGCCTTGAACCGGCCCGTTTGAAATCCGAGCCAGGCTCGAACCTTTGGTCAACTGGTTTGATCGGGTCGGGTTGGGTGGCCCGTGGCCACGTCTAGCTGAATACGTACTCATATATAGGTTATGTCTGGTAAAACTAGTTGATAAGCTAGTTTATAGCTTATCAGTAATTCTCGAATTTATAACTTATAGCTTATATGATAAAAGCGTTTGGTAAAATTAACTGATAAGCTAGCTGCAATAAAAATTTCAACGAGCTTATTTGAAAAACTACCCAAAGAAGCTTATCAAATAAGCTCGAGCTTTTTAAATAAGCTCGTCTTACCAAACAAAGCTTATTTGAATATAAGAAGATTATGAGATAACTAAATAAGCTATAAGCTAGCTTATTTGTCTAACCATAATATTTTTCTTCTACATGTTATCTTATCAAAAATTATTATTTTAAACTTTCCTCCTATTTGTAACTGGAAAAACATCAAAATAGAGCTCATGATTAGAAATAGACTTCTTTCCATTTCTTCCATTTTTTTTTCTGGAATGATAGAAATATTATATAAAAGCGTACAAATGTGCAAAAGTATTGCCACGAGCTCAATACAAGCAGCTAACAACGAAATAAACTGGGAGAACAGGCCTAAAGCCAGCCTAGAACTGTCCCAAACGGGGAAATACTCTAGAAACACAATATATAACACGATACTAAAAACTCTCAAGGGGATAATAAAAACAGATAGAAACTACCCCAACAGGGTAATGCCCGAGTGCACGGTCCCAACATGATAATAAAGTCACGCTCGGACCACCGAGGCCAACGGCCCAAACCTAAAACACAGACAACACAAAACAAGAATAAACAACGCAACAAACAAAAACGAAACTACAAACTAAAAACAGACGAAGATCCTCCCTCAGCAGATACATCCGAAAAAGACATTAGACAAAGCCAATTCCGAGTAGAGCTCCGAAGCTCTAGTACCATGCCCGCCACTGCAGAAGGCCTAGCAAGACGAAGATCCAAGCCTACGAACAAACCAAAAGAATCAACCCGCACACCAACCGCAAGAAATCACAATCGCCCCCCAACCGGCTAACACCACTAGCCAATCCGAAACCGTCACACAATTGCCTAACACCACTAGCCAACTTCAAAAACAGACGACTCCCATAAACTCGTAGCTGATAAAGAGGAGGAAGGGGACGAACGACTTCAGAGCTCAGTTGCTCCGACCTTGCCCGAAGAGACAAACTCAGCCCGAAACAACCACCCATCCACCCCAGCTACAAGAACGCATCCCGACCCAACAACCTAACTGAGCCGAGGAATCAAATGAGACCAGACTTCGGTCAAAACCGAGATCCCGCAACCAGGACGACCAACCATCCCGACAATAAGAGGCGCTCTAACCCAAGCTCGAACTCGACCCGCCCAGCCCTCGAGGACGGACCACAGCCATCCCACTGCTACTCCAAAACGCCGGTGACCAAAGAGCCGGAGAGTAAGCCATGGTCGTCGACTAAGATTGGAAAGGGAAACCTGAACAAGGCGATGCCAACAAAAGAGCCGCATCCAGCCACTTTGCCGCAGTCCACCCAGTCTCTCCTCCCTGGGAGCTCCGGCGGTCGTCAGACACGGATCGAGAAAATCCGCCGAAAATCGCCTTCCCCACCCCACGGCCAGAGAGAGAAGGGTGGAGGAGCCGCGAGAAGCAGCAAAGATGCGCCACGGTGGGCAGTCCACCGGCAAGCCGGATGGACGCCGAGAGAGACGCTATTAACTGGCGATTGAAGCTAGGGTTACAGGGGGTTGGGGAGCGAATTTGGGGAGACGGGATTGTTCCATTTCTTCCATTACTACTTCAATTCTTATCATGATTCACTGCACCAATAGATCAGTTATTGGACCAGCTAATAACTGTTAGTTATTTAACCAATCACATTC